CGTCACAGACCCCCCAACCAGGCACATCAATGTCCTCTGCAGCCACCAGCTTCAGGCCATTCAAGCAGTTTCCTTGGACAGCTGGAGCTCCCAGCACCCGTCGACGGAGGATGTTTTCTCTTTGCACAAGGTCTCACACGCCAGCGCCATCTGGACATCTGGACACTTCTTCTCTGGAAGACAACAAGTCCAGTTCTGACCCAGTAAAACCTGGTCTTCAAAACCACCATTGAGATCATTGAGATCATTGGTGTTCTGGTATGACCAACTCCAGTACAATGAGGTCAGTTCCTGACCGGAGTTGGGAATGTCACAACCTTAAAGATGGTCCTCTGGGCCTCTTCCTCTTCGCTCTTCGTTTGGAAGCCATCGCCAGTAAGGTGGAGGCCATCGCTCTTAGGTTGCTATTAGGTGAGGTACCATGCGCCCCTCCTCTTCCCCTCGTCCTTTCCACCGAGGCTCGGTACACGGCCTCGCCGTTGCCGGCGCCCGTGTCCACCGTCCCGAGGAAACGCATTCGCGGGCGCAGGTACACGGCGCGTGCGTGTCAGGCGAAAGGAAGGAGAGGCATTCCGTTCGTAGCGATGTTCCTAGTAGCGTCCGATCGCTCCGTTCCTAGCGATGCCCGGAGCCCCGTTCGTAGCGTCCTCTTGCTCCTAGTAGTAAGGCCAGGAGCCCCTAGTAGCTTCTTGCCCTGGTCGTGTTTCGCATGGATGAAGTGAATTACGCTGTTGAATGGTGACCGTCAAAGAGAGTGTTCAAAGGTAATGTTTAAATTACACCACCGTAGACCCCAAACAGTTTGTGTTTTTCAAAATCGAAACTAGAGCTTGCGACGTCCAGAGCTGGGAGACAAATGTAAAGGGTTGCAAGGCAGAGAGGGACACAGCAGTACAGAGCGGGCGGACACATCTTAAGAAAGAATTGAGAAGCCCTAACAGTAAACCTTTTGGGGAATTATTCTTCAAGTGCGAACATGATGCTGGTCATGCTGCTCAGTCAGCGGGGAGCTGACCACGTGAGGACAAGAAATAAAAGCATGAGGAGCGAAGGATGTGACATGAAATTGATTTTTGGTGCCTGACGTATGCCCTCCGCCCCAATTGAACAGAGAGAGATCGCTGCCACGCCGCCGAAATCCAATCCGGTCATTCATCCAACGGTTGCCCGAAAAGGAAAACAAAGCTGAGAGAGTTACACAGTGTGGCAGGAATGCAATCCCGGAGACAGTCACGCACCCCTTGCAAAGGAGCAAGAACCTTTCACAGGCGAACCTGTTCCAGCGGACAGGGCAGAAAACAGCAGCGCAGGCACCAAACCTGAAAGACAAAAAGAAAGAAATCACATGGGAGACAAATGAATAGAAATGCTACATGACCAGCGGAAAAGGGCGGCAGCACCAGTGACAGACCCGGGAAACAAATGAATAGAAATGCTGCATGCCCAGCGGAACAGGGCGGACACCAGCAGTGACAGACCTGGAAAACAAATGAATAGAAATGTTGCATCGCCAGCGGAAAAGGGCGGACACCAACAGTGACAGACCTGGGAGACTAATGAATAGAAACGCTGCATGGCCGACGAAAAGGGCGGACACCAGCGGAGACAAATGAATAGAAATGCTACATGGCCAACGGAAAAGGGCGGACAGCGGCAGTAACGGACCTGGGAAACAAATTAATAGAAATGCTTCATGGCCAACGGACAAGGGCGGGCACCAGCAGTGCAGGCTGGGAGACAAACGAATAGAAATGCTACATGG